ACATGTAAGAAGTAGAAAGTACAGGTATCTTTGTGGGGGGGGGTTACCTTGGTTGGTGATTGGCTAATGGTTACACAAGCCAAAACATCGTTATGACATCATCAAGTGGCCAAAATCTGATCAGCTCATTTTCAGACAGGTTTTTTATAGAAATGGATCAGGACAGAAAGAGAGAGAATCTTTGTCCCTGAAACTTTCAGAGTCTCTTTACACAGAGGGGACACATGTTGATGTAGAAGAGACATGAAGAAGAGGGGACACATGTTGATGTAGAAGAGACAAGGAGAAGAGGAAACACATGTTGATGTAGAAGAGACATGAAGAAGAGGAAACACATGTTGATGTAGAAGAGACATGAAGAAGAGGGGACACATGTTGATGTAGAAGAGACATGGAGAAGAGGGGACACATGTTGATGTAGAAGAGACATGAAGAAGAGGGGACACATGTTGATGTAGAAGAGACATGAAGAAGAGGGGACACGTGTTGATGTAGAAGAGACATGAAGAAGAGGAGACACATGTTGATGTAGAAGAGACATGGAGAAGAGGGGACACATGTTGATGTAGAAGAGACATGAAGAAGAGGGGACACATGTTGATGTAGAAGAGACATGAAGAAGAGGGGACACATGTTGATGTAGAAGAGACATGAAGAAGAGGGGACACATGTTGATGTAGAAGAGACATGAAGAAGAGGGGACACATGTTGATGTAGAAGAGACATGAAGAAGAGGGGACACTTTTTTAAATTCTGTATATTCCAACATTTTGTTTAAGAAATAAAAACTCGAACACAGATTTTTCTTAGCAAATTATTTACGTGACTTACAAGTTGGGATGAAGTGGGCGATTCAAATACTGGAACATTTGCAACAAAATGAATTAAAAAAATGTGGCCTTAAAAGCAAAACCAAGAAAGAATACCTAAAATTAAAGACGAAACAGTTTTCAAAAGATTTAAAAAGAAGTCACAAAGTCTTAATAAATCTTATTTCCATCACCTCACTCTGCTGATAAGGATCCACACTCTGAGGTAAAGTCAAGAATCAATGAACAAACTCCAAATGAAAAGAAATCCCTCAAAAAAGGACCTGATTCAAACTCTATCCATCATATAAATAAGATCACTCAAATATAAAGATGCTCATCCACAACACACGCTGTATTATAGTTACCGAAGGCCCACGAGCTTTCATGACGTGCACATGTGAGAGTGTGTGTGTCATACTGTGGGGTGTGTGGTTGCTACGGTTGTATTTGCACGTGAGGATGCCAGAGGCGAGGAAAACTGTTGGGATTTTGGTTTTTCCACGGTGAGCATCAAGGTTTCCCCGGCTGGATGGACAGCAGGCTGCCGAACTTGAAGTGTTGGATCACAGGGAACTTCTCCAGACACTGCAGAGAGAGAGAAAACAGTGTATAACCAACAAACTTGGACATGGAGATCCTTTCAAAATGGCCAGAGCAACCAGAGGGACATTTGGTGAAGGGACGGCTGATGATCTGAAAGTCTGGAATAAGGCACATCGGGAAGGAGCCATGATTTTAGCATTTGTTTTGCTCTGATAATGTTCGACAATGCTGCGTTTTGGTTTCTGCAGCAGGACAATGAAAGTGTGGACAGAAGACCACCAGATCAAGACCCACCCTGTCATGGAGAGCCCAAAATCGAGAGCTGAACCCCTTTGGAAAGCTCAGGAATCATCTAGATAAATGTGAGACGTCACAGGAGATCAAACAAAGCAGAGTTGCTTGAATTTTGCTCAAAACAGCTTGTCAAACTTCAAACTCTGTCATCCATCTTCTTTGTTGAGCCAATGTTGGATCCACATTACGAATTCAATCTCTAAATAAAAATATCCTTTTTGTCCTTTTTTGTGGCTATTTATCAAAAGTACATAGTTCTAAGACCACTTATGGTGCTTTTCCACTGCAGGGCCTCGCTCGGATTAGTACGGTATAGCTAGGCCTTGTTAGGCCAGGCTCACTTTATGCTGCGTTGCCATTACAGTTTAGTAGCTGGGGCAGTAACTATAGTAACGCAGTGTAGGCGGAGCCGAATGCGAAACACAAAACCAACATCAGCCGTTAGCTGTTAGTCCTCAGAGCTCACAGCTCCTCATATCTGTTCAGAAACTAGACAAAAGTTAAACAAGTCCAAACCACAGACTGTCTGTGTCATGGAGAATACAGTCGCTGGTTTATTTATGTCTGTAGGCCGTTGATGTGAGTGTGGACGGTCGGAGCATTTACTGCGTTAGCTTTGGCGATCTCCATTCAGAAAACACACATTTTAAAAGGTTTTTCGCCTGCCGTCTGTCTGCAGACTTGTCAAAGCATTAATTCATGGTTTTTACTAACCGGTATCAGTATGTTGTTACTTCGGCATCATTTTGAAACGTGTATTACAATTAAATCAGGGTCAAATATGTTCATGTTGTTGTATTTGCCAGCGATTCTCTCACTAGTTTAGCATACTCAGCCCGGTTGTTGGCCCGGAAAGAACCTCGATTTTGGAGAGCCAGAAAACTGTGAAAAAGTACCCGCTAGCCGGAACTACCCCAAGTGGAAACACAACCAAAAACGGGCCGGGCACGGCACGCTTAAACCGTGCTGTAGTGGAAATGCGCCATTAGTCTACGAGGTGAAGTCAAGCTCTCCAAAAACCCTTAAAAAGACCCAATGTAGTCACAGATTTTAGGCTTTATTCAAGTAAAATACAGTTTCCAAATCCATACGTCTCTTAGCGGTCCACTACAAACTTAAAGACACACGAATACTATCACACTATCATTTACATTTTGTCCCTTAAATAAATTAAATGAGTGGATTCAAGCAGTTGTGGAAGTGTCTGATCACATCGTTTCCTTTGCTCTATGGTCAGTGAAAGAACACGTCGTTGTCTTTCAGAGACACGTTGATGAAGTCCAAACCGAGTGAACTTGACCTGACTTCTCTTCTTCTGGCTGACTTTTCATTGTGACCAGGTTTTAAAGGGCTCTGCAGCGCAGGCGAGGCCCTTATTAGGGAGCCGACATGGACCCAGTTTTTGGGGAGTCGGAGGGGGGGNTGTGGTGGGGGTTGGGAGAATTGAACTATTGTGCTCGGTGTGTCTGCGCAGTGACACTATCAGTCATGATCATCGGGGCAGAACTGGGGTGGAAACATGCCTCAGAGAACAAATATATGAATCAATGAAAATATGTAAAATGTATCACAGACACACGCTTCATATTAAACATGCACAGGACATCAGATATACTGGCAGTTCAAAGAGAACACTAGCTTATTAACAAAGATTAATCAACATTGCTGTATTTCTTATGGTATGTTATGACAAACCAATTGTTGGGCGGATTCTGACCATATTCCTAATTTTTCTTACTGTCCACAAATTCCTTGACCATACCCAAACCAATAGTGGATGAAGCTTCTACCAGTGTGTGTGTGTGTGTGTGTGTGTGTGTGTGTGTGTGTGTGTGTGTGTGTGTGTGTGCGTGCATGCGTGTGCGTGTGTGTGTGTGTGTGTGTGTTAGTTATGACCCTTCTTTAATTAAGTGGTTCATTAACTTCTCTCTAGTATCAGAATGTACTTGTTGTCTTACAACTAGCTGCCTGTGTGTGAGTCAAAGACTGATATCGTTTTTAATCTTTTTCTTTTGCCATAGTGTCCAAAAACGTGTTCTTTTTAAATCTAAAACACATCCGTGAGCCTTACGCAGCATCCACACGGCAGCGTGCGTTCACATGAATCTCCCGCCCCGGACAAACAAGCACGCGATTTGATTGGCTAGAGCTTGTACTGGCATATGATTTGATTGGCTGACGCTTCCGTCGAAGCTTCAAAAGTTGAACTTTTCTCAACTTTTGAAGCGAGCAACGCAGCCCGGCAAAGCGTGACGTCACCCCATTCAAAGTGAATGGGAAGAAGCGTTGAAGCTTCGGCGCACGCCGTGTGCACGGGCTGTTACTGATGCACTTTAACGTTGAGAAGAATACAGAAGGAAGCGTTTTGAAAATGACGTTTCTTCCATCTTTCCCATAATTTACTTGTCGTCCTACAACAGGCTAGTCTTTGACAACAATATCAGACATAATGTTTACAGTGGTGACTTATTCTTCTTAAGCAAGTCTGGGCATGTGAGCTTTGAGTAGCCCATTGAAATGAACCCAACAGTAGCTTTGATAGGGAGAAGAAACAAATAACCAACTTATACATGACTAGCAGTGAAAGAGCTCAAATAAAGATAAACACAAAGCTACTTCCATAATTGTATCTGGTCACTATTATTTATAACCTATGCCTAATTTTTTATATGTCTATTCTTATGACTGCATTATAATCCCGCTGTTGTTATACCGTACATTTCCCCGGGACAAATCGAGGAATCCTTAGACCTGGAGGGTGATATCTTCACGTCTAGACAGGACATACTATATTTCTATTATATTATATTTTATTTGTACTACTTGCACTATTTTATGTGTTTTCTTGTGTCGCACTGTTGGAGGAGCCTGTGAGCTAAGATTTCCATCGTCATAACTACACTGTAGCTATGTTCAAATGAAAATAAAAGCCTTGAAACTATTGAAGTCACGCAGTTAAAGCACATCCACTATCGTTTCCCTGAGCATGTTTTATTTCTCACAATCCCATTTAATGTTTCAAACAGTTAGTCAAACGTTCGTCAGTCTCCTCTCAGTCTGAAAATGGAGCACACTGCTCTCTCTCCAGCTCTGGTACAAACCCTGTGTGGGGCCAGGAAAAGGGAGAGAGGAATGCGAGTCTGCTGATGGTTGCTCCAGGCTGGGAGGAAGGTCGGGACAGAGGGAGGGGAGGATTTAATGAAGGGAACGGCAGAGGAGAAAGAGGAGGGGGGAGGGAGGGAAAGGCAGACAGCTTGGCCCCTCAGCTCTTTGGGAAGACTCGCAGGCTGCTCTGGAAAACACAGGATGTGGGCATGCAGGCGGGGAGAAACGGGCTTAGACAGCCCCCCCTCCAACCCCACCCCCGACCGCCCACACACACACTCACACACACACACACTCTCTCTCACACACAATCCCATTCCCTCCATTCCTCTCTTAACCCTTTCCTGCCTCTCGTGTGAGGCCGTTTGCTCGCGGAGAAACGGCCGACAGTCGAGCTTTCAGCAGACACCTCGTCTCTTAAACTACACCACTTGTATATAGACTCTTATGGCACTACTTATTTTCTACTTTATTGTATTTACTTGCACTTTTTCATTGTGTTGCACTGTTGGAGGAGCCCGAGACCTAACATTTTCATCGACATAACTAAACTGTAGCTATGTACGAATGAAAATAAAAGCCTTGAAACTTAAATATCACGTAAAGAGTTCCTTTTTTTATCGGGGAGAATTATTAAGAGGTGTCCAGTTTACACAGCAACGTGTCAGTTTCTACGCAAACGCCCTTCTGAAAATGTGAAGGTTAATGTGTTTCTTACAGAACAAGAACAGCATGTGCCGTACTGTCCGGCCTCGATCTGGAGACGGATGCTGTCCAAATGAGGACCGAAAATGAGTTTGGGTCAAAGTTAACTCACTATCAGGGGGAAGCACTCTGTGTTTTATTACCTGATGATGCTACTTGGTGAACAACAAATATGCAATGACATCAGAGCGAGTAAAGTTGGCTGATAGTAACCGGGTTAAAGGAGGCTTCAGAGTTTAATTACCAAGCGTTCAAGCTTTATTCAGTATAAATGATTACGTGACGGTTGTAAAAGCAAAGTACTTACTTATCTACCTGAATGTGTACTTCTGTAGATTGCAAACATGTGTATTTTAAATACCATGTGAATTCCTTTTTATATTATACTGTTCAATTTTCCTCGTCTCTTTCTATACTAATACTGTAACAACTTACATTTCCCTGTTGTGGGACGAATAAAGGCATTCTGATTTAAGGAAGGGTCATGTTTGGATCAGGTATTTACGGTGTGTCCTTTCCCCTGATTGGGTTTGTCTGACCCCGAAAGTGCATATTGTTTTTGACCGCGGGTGTGTGCAACGATTGTTTGTTTGGGAAATGATTTGCATATTGATGTATATGGACAATAAATGGGTTGTATTAAACTGCAACTGGAAATAAGCCATTGAGTCTACTGGGTTTCTATTGAAGTCAGTTAGTATACACAGCCCACAGATTCTCCTATCCACCCTCACACATGTGGAAATTAAAAACAGCCCATTTAAAATACTGTTTGATGATTTTAGCTCATCACTCAATACAAAATCATCCATACAACTCAGCACCCTGCGTTGAGTACCACACTCTGAACTTAATAGTCGGAATATTTTTTACTTCTTCAACTTGGTGGTCCAACGTTCTTCACTCTACTGCTGAATAAAGGAGCACCCCAGGGCTATATGCTCGGCCCGGTGCTGTTCACAGTGTACACATGAGACCTCAACATCAACAAGTCTGTTATGAAGTTAAGGTATGACACTGCTATTATTGGCTTGATTTAAAACAACCATTAGACTTCATTTAGAAAGGAAATAAACAATCTCGCAGATCAGAGAACAACTTACTGCTCACTTATGCAAAATAAAAGGGTTGATTGTTGCTTTTAGAAAAAGACAAGGAAACTAACGCATGCCTTCTTTATGCATGGTAGATCAAGTTTGAAGCTCCCAGAAAACCGAATAAGAGACAATAACAACCAGACATCACATATCAAAATTCCCCTGGCAAGGTTCTTGTTCACTTTTACAAAGGAGCGATAGGAAGCATCCTTTCTGAGAACAGTACAACCTGGTCTGGGATTTGCACCGGCCTGCAGCGAGGGATTAAAGAGGCCAGAACATCACTGTGACTAATCTACAGAGCATCAGTGATGTTGGAGAAGAGATACAAGACTGCTGGAGCACCACACTACAGGAGAGTATGTTTCCTCAGCTCCTAAACTCATCTTCCTTACAACACCATTACAAAAGGGTTCATAATGGGACTATAAAACAACTGTATAAACAACATCATGCTGTACAAAGACTATTAATGTATATTGTATTATTAACAGCTGTCTAGTTTTTATTAGAAAATCTTGGTGTGTCAACATGCTAAACTAAGGTGCTAAACATGTGAACATTATATACATATATCCATCCATCTACCTATCTATCTATCTATCTATCTATATATATAATAAATACATTTGTATGCAAGAAGGCACCGTGCTAAGTGGAAGCCTGTGGCAGCAGCTAATGGAGTGTGTATTGATAATAATAATTTATTACATGTATTTAGCGCATTTCTAAGTACTATAATACTACTCACATTACAAAAGTTAAATGTCCTAGTATATTGTGATATATAGTAGTATTGAGTTTCTTTTTTTGTTTGGATACTCTACAGATATTTATCTTTCTACTGTTGATATCTACATATTTACTTTTTATTTTATTCGATTTTTATTCGATTTCATTTTATTTTTAACTCATGTACAAAGCCTTGTCAACATGCTGCTTTAACGAAACAATTTCCTGATTTGGGTTCAATTAAGTATTCCTAATATAACATATTTTGAGCTTGTTAGACTGCTGACATTAGCATTTAACTCAAAGCCAAGCACAGCCTCACAGTGCTGCTAGCACGGCTGTAGACTCTTAGTTTTGTTTTTAAACCTGCAGTAAAAACTCATGGAAAAAATCTACTCATGGCTTTGCCAAATGTCCTTTGGTGGAACCATGAGGGCAGACCATAGCATACATTTCATAGAACTGTTCTGCAGTCAGACAGGAGTGCATGGTACAAACAAATGACTAGATAATGCATCAATAACTATAAACTAAATATATATTATTCTGAAATGGACCAATCTGCAGAATGAGTACTTTCAGTGCTATAAGTATATTTTGATGCTCATACTTTTGTACTTTTAACATTTTGAGTGTTGGACTTTTACTAGTATTTTTACCCTCTGGTACTTCTACAAACTCTGCTTAAAATCTACAAATTACATATATTGTACGTCTGTCATTCATGGGAGAGGGATGAAACAAAAATGTGTCATGATGACTTGAATTTTGTGTCATTGTTTATCAAATGTATGTTTTAAAACCTGCGTTGCCACAGAAAATCCATCAGACTGTTAATTCTCTGAAGGATTTGAGTGATCAGTAAAGGACAAGGGAGGAAGAAGCAGGCGTACCTCGGCCTTGTACATTCGGATCAGACCCTGGTTGACTTTGGACCAGGAAGGAACAGCGCTGATGTTCCACAGCTGGTTCGAGTGTTCTGCAAACGGACCCGTCTTCATCTATAGGAACAGAAAGAGGAACACAGATGATGATGATGATGATGATGATGATGATGATGATGATGATGATGATGATGATGTGAAAGAGAGAGAAAGTAGACGCCTGTATCAGGATGTAAAGCATAGAGGAGCACTTGAGCTGACAGCAAATAACACAGGATGTCATTTTGAAGCTGAACCCAAAAGCGCCCCCACTGTTGAAATTTGGGAATGCAACTTAATTGTCTTTTTTCTGCCTTAAAAACAGGTTTCGCTCTTTTATCATTTTTTGTTTTTTTCTGCTGAAAAAATAAGCTTTAAAGGAAATTCACGAAAGAAAGAATGGATGAGACGAAAACAATAACAAAAAGTTGACTGTTCTTATTCACCTTTTAAATGAAAACAAACAACAACATAACCCAGTGATGTTACATTTATTACAGCTTACTCAATGTAGTGCTGCCTTTCCCCCATTTCCCTCCATGTTCCCCGTTACTGTTCTTTTGTAAAGAATATTTTATGATTTGTAAAGTCTCCTTAGTACTTTGAAAGGCGCCTCTAAATAAAATGTATTATTACTACTCTGCTTTCTGATACATTTGGTAATAACTAACTAATCATTATTATTATGTTGTTTATTGCTAGCCTCTTAAGTTCTCTTATGTATAATGCCTTGTTTTTTATTCTGCTGCAACGCAAACATTTCCCAAATTGGGATCAATAAAGTACTTCTTATCCATCTATCCATCCATCCATCCATCCATCCATCCATCCATCTATCCATCTATCTATCCATCCATCTATCTATCTATCCATCCATCATCTATCTATCCATCCATCCATCTATCTATCCATCTATCTATCCATCCATCTATCCATCTATCCATCCATCCATCCATCCATCCATCCATCTATCTATCTATCCATCTATCTATCTATCCATCCATCTATCCATCCATCCATCTATCTATCTATCTATCTATAACAAAAATGCAGAACAAAAGGCTGATTGTTGTTCCAGCCATCACCTAAATAACATTAATACATTCTGGATTCAACAACAAGGACCGTGACAAACAAATAAGAGAGTAAACAGAACAATAGTGAGACTGATAAAAAAAATCATAAATGTATGAATGAAGACTATGGACTGTTTTCCCACCATTTTCCCCAAAAGGCAGGGGAGCCCAAACCCAGACCCTGAGGCATCAAATTAACAACCCCCTCCTTTTTCCACCCCACCCCTCCCCCTCCCCCCCTCACACTGCTCTAGACACTTTCCAGGGCCTCGCATGAGAAACACATGGGGGAAGGGCCTGAAAAGGGAGGGAAAAGGGGGGTGGAGACAGACCCTATTCCCCTGAGGAAGGAGTGATTCACAGCAGCATGTGGGGAAGGAAGTGACTCATGTTTAGGACAGAGCACACACACACACACACACACACTCTCTCTCACAACACACACACTAGAGCCTTGTGTGCAAATCAAAAAAAGAACATGAGTTTGAAGTATCCACATGTGTGTGAATACGAGGGAAATACGTTGCAGAGGAAAATACATGTTTTTTTTAACCAGTTTAGCCCTCAGAGAAATTATGCATTAACTAGTGATACTATGGTAACCCACCGTTGTTGTTCACATGGTAAACAGACACTCACTAGCCAATCAGAAGCCTTGTAAATACTACACACAGCTAAATGTATTATAGCTTGTTTTGACTACTTTCAATCTAACGTACTATTTCTTTTAATGGGATTTTAGCTAGCTTGCACAACAAGAATGATGGCAGGTTTGGGAACAATACTGAATTATAGTTTTTGATAATCTGTGGTTTTAGAGTGCAAGCCTAATTACACCAGCATTTAAAATAGTTAACAGTATGGAGATTTGAATCCAGTAAGTCCAAATGAACTGTCCTGCACCATCCGCCAACTTCCCGTTGGAGTATGAGCTGCTCCACGTAACTGGTGACGTTTTCTGAGACCGTTTTGAGACACGAGCACAAACATGTCTATAATTTAACTGTGTGAACCTGTTGGACTGTTTCTGAACAAAGCAGTCGAGCTATCCAACAAGTAGCAACGGTGATCGACAAATATAATGGGGATGGGAGAGTTTCTTGCAATTGTTTTAGCTTGACATTTCACCCACTTCTTCAGTATAGCCACAACTCGCCAAGAACCATTCATTTTCAGAAACATAGCAGATTTATTTTTGGTGTACCGCTTTCTGGAGGCCTAAACTATGTTTTAAAACCAAATAAGCCGAATACCAAAACACTCCATAGGCGCGTTCACACCAAGTACTTTTCCCACAAAGGTTCCTGAGAACTCTTTAATTCTCAGGAACTAAGTACAGATCGCGAACACACCAAAATTAGTTCCTGGGGGTGGATTAGGCAAATGAAGCTGCTGACGTCACTTCTTCTTCTTCTGCTTTGGGTTTACTGGCAGGCCGCAAACAACTTCACGGCGTATACTGCAACCCAAAATCCCCGGCCGGAAGTCCCCGGAGTTGGGGACGTCCCAGCAGCTTCTACTGAAGCCTTCCGTGTAAACGGCCAGAACGCCGACACCTCCTCATCTCCACCGCTCCCATGTTTTATTTTGTGTTGTCATAAATTAGTCACTCTGCGTTTCTGCGCTGGGCTAATGCTAATAATGCTAATGCGAGGATAATAAAATGGCGGCTTCACAAAAGTTTTTGGGAGTTTGACGGGGCGTGGTTTGCATTCCGCCCAGCCAATCCGACACAGGAACCTTTTTCTCCCACGAAAGTCCCTGCTCTCTAGCAGGGACTGAAAAGGGGGTAAAAAAGGTTCTCTAGAACTAATTTAGTTCCTGGGACTTTTTGGTGTGAACGCAACTAAATCGTAGTTCTCAGGAACCTTTGTGGGAAAAGTACTTGGCGTGAACGCGCCTCATGTTTCCTTCTGATATAAACACAGCACCCAAGACCCTCATACATAAACACAATTACAGATACAAAGGGAAAAAGCCCCGAGTAGGAAATGGTTGACAAGAGATGCAAAGCTTGGGGCCTGTTTTGATGTTACTCATGATATTTCTGTCATGGAGAAACAGACATTTATTGTGAGTTTAAGGATTGTTGGGTTTCACTGGTTGAAGGCATATCTACAGTTAGATCGGACTTCAACTGAATCACACAATGCAAACCCTAACCTAACCCTAACCGAACCCTAACCTAACCCTAACCCTAATCTAACCCTAACCTAACCTAACCCTAACTACGTGCAATACATACACTTCTTTTAGCAACTGTGCAATAACCATAATCCTTTTTAGTAACTCAAACCTTAATATGTTCATGTTCACTTACCTAAATGCTGCAACTAAACATACACGAGTACTTAGCTGTCTATGTTTAACATGTTAGCTACGTTGTTATCGCTTGACTTTAATCTGCTATTTCCCCGCTGCGCGACTAATAAAGGGATTCTGATTCTGATCATGATTTCTCGCACTGAAATCACTGAATCCGAAACTAAATGATCACAAATATTGTCAGGTTTTTAAGACATTATGAAATCTGTGAGTAATGGGTGAGGAGAACCACAACAGCAGCATCCTTTCATGAGCTTGATGAGGAGGGGGATGAGGTGGAGGGGGAGGGGGGAGAGGAGGAGGAGGAGGAGGAAAACGGGGAAGGAGGTGGTGCTTCTGAGTGGGAAGGAGGAAAAGGATGTAGCTGCTCCAACAACGCCCTCCTCTACTTCCCTCTCCTCCTTTTCCTTCCAAATCCAAAAACAAAGCGCATGGTTCCTGCTCTGGCGCTCTGCCAACAATCCATCTGCCTGCCCTCATCTCCCTCATCTTCCCCAGACAAAGCTCATGTGGACCAACTCACTTACAGCATCAGCACAAGATATCAACTATGTCTACTTAAATGACACATTAATATGTTCTTTGATTAATTATTCCCCAGGAAAACAATACACTAAGATCCTTTAAAAACACATCTGAACAAAGTGGCAGAGTTCAACCACGCAGTCTTGGTAGTGTCCATTAGGGGGCAGTACTACATTCTGTTGTAATGCAGAATTAACAGATTGCATACAATCATCCTTTGGTGTATAGGTAAGGGCACGCACGCACGCACGCACGCACACACACACACACACACACACACACACACACACACACACACACAACACACACACACACACACACACACACACACACACACACACACACACACACACACACACAATAAAGTATATCATATCTTAAAAGTGTTGCACTCAGCCAACACTAGGATGTGCTTCTGCCACTGCTTCTTTGGTTGGGAAGTGAGTCCACATGATAATGATAGTTACAGACAGTCTACAAATCATTATCCCAAAAGCTACAATCTCTCTGGCCTTATGTCAAGCCTTTTTTGACATACCCTACTGATTTAACACAGTGTTTCTCAAACATAGGTTGAGAAAAATCTATGCTCCTCATCAGGATGCCCCTAGTTAGTTTACATTTCCTTTATTTCTACACCACCTCTTGAATGATGTCAGCAACAGCCCCATTGTGTTATTTACAATTCTGTCAATATCACATAAAGACATTTCTGTTCTAGTGAAACAGCGCCCCCACCAGGGCATCAGTGACGAGGCAGGCAGTGAGTGCTTTCTGAGCAAACAAACAAACATATTTTGGAAACTCAATGTGATGATGAGGGGATGCTTTTTCATTTCTCACCTCATTTATGAACTTGATGCACTCCAGAAACATGTATTCGTGCTGCTGCTCGTCCACCACCCTCTCCTCGAGGAAGTGCCGAGGCTCCAGAGTTGGGTGATCTGAAGGGAGAAGGAGCTGTAAGTGCACATGTTTACCACCAGGTGTCACCATTTACCTGCCTTTAACTAGACTCAACACAATGGAGACGTGCAGTGCAGTCATGATGTGGACTCAAACCTGCATCTTTAACCATTCCACAGCAGAACCAGAACTGCAGCGCTGACTTCAGATCAGCACAGCAGTCTTTCAGTTGTCTTTTGGACATTTGATTTCCATTTTGATTGCGATTTATTTCTCTGTGCATATCTAACTAAAGGCATGTCTTTGTTGTCTTGTAGAGCAACATGAACTGTACAACCCAGACAAATTCATACGAAGGATTTGGCATCGTTTCCAGAGAAGGTTTTGAGGATAATCACACTTGTTGATGTTGTAAAAAAGGTGTTCTTCATATACAGATACCAGCAAGCAGAGAGCACATTAACAAGGGCAGGCAGCAGTAAAGATGTGTGTCTTGTTGTCTACAGTGAATTTGGTTGGTAAAGCTTGTTAAAGATACTGGTCATTGGCTTTAATTAGTGCACAAGCACCAATGTGCAAGGGGCTCAAAGGTGTTCCTGACAGTATCAAATATATGTGACATATGATTACGAAGGAATATTTGTTAGCTCAAACGATGAGGTCGTAGGTCAAAGAAAACACAATGTTTGACAACTAGTGCTGCAGATAGCTGTAACAATCTTACACAAGTGGATACAAGCACCAACATTTCATCCCTTTGGTGTCATTTATTTTAAAAAGCACGTTGACCACTTCAATTTCCAAATTTACAACCAATCCTCCAATATAGCCGCCCATTTCCACCCGAGGAAACAGTTTTTTACCACAGAATTCTAACCACTGGATCAATTTTGTTGATTATGATATTGAATTATATGTTTAAGACTTTGGGGAAGTCAAATGTATAATTAAGATACCTCTTCATAGCTTTTTTTGCTTCATTTTAAACACAAAATATAAAAATGAATACCGTCAACACTGGATTACGGCAAAAAACATATATTATAACAATTTTCAGAACTATACTATAATGTTATTTATCATGTTTAATAGACATAACATCGACACAGCATGATCCTATATCTGCACTACAAGCATCGATTAGGTCGTAGCGCACCCTGATGGAGGCAGGAAGTAATGCAGCATGGTGACCGGCACACAGCCTGCAGCCTTAGTTCAAATTGAACGCTTTTAAATCAAGATATACAAAAATCAATTCATTAACAATCGATCATCCAAGCTTAGTTACTCCAGCTTGGTAAAACAGTGTTGACTTCACCAACATTGATATACTAATACTGATCTCCTTTCACACTTTCAAACATGGGCTTCCCTTTTGATTATTCCAATACCAACATATTATTTTGAATTGCTCACAGACACTTTGTTCTGACAGTGTAACATCATATCTATGTACGTTATAGCAGTTATAGCGAGGCTCTTACCTACAAACTGGGAGCTTCCCCAGATGAAGGGAAGGAACTGAAAGTCATCCAGTCCCCAAACACCCTGGCTCCCAGCGGGCTCCATCCTGTAGGTTTTCTGCAGCTTCCGCATCACTTCCAGATACCTGCAACACACACACACACACACACACACACACACACACACACACACACACACACACACACACACACACACACACACACACACACACACACACACACACACACACACTCTCTCTCTCTCTCAAACACAGGCATACACACACACA